TAACTCTGAATTATAACATTTTAACTTCCCCAATATGGTTGGTTCTGTATTGTCTGTGAGCTATCACGATGGATTTTGGACACAGCAAGGCAGTAAGATTGGTGTGAGATGAGTAGAAAGAAGCATGGGAGCATGGGGGACCTGTCTGACCTCATGGGAATTGGTTTTCTGTTATAGATGCCGTGAACGTGGATAGTTTCCCCTCTTTGCAGCACGACCCACAAGGTCCTTTTTCTTTTTACATTACTGATTATATAATTGGGGGGGGGAAGTATGTCTGATAAATAATCTGATGATTAATTCTATCATGTGGTCTCTGGCGCTGATTTTCTCATTTCCTGTTGTTAGGTGCTACTGAGTTGACCAGACTACGAAAAACAGATCTGAACCTTGCCCTATCCAGTACCATCCTCACAAAGTCTTTCATGTTCAAGTGAGGGCCTTCCTCTCTTTCACTTACCTCCTCCCTTTCTGGGTAGGATGTCTTTTTCCAAGAATAGGACCCTTCTAAGAGCATGTCCAAAGACTGTGAGAGAAGTTTCACAAACCTTGCCTCTAAGGAGCATTCTGAACACACTTCTTCCAATATAGATTTGTTTGTTCTTTTGGAAGTCCATGAGATAGTCAATATTCTTCTTCAGCATCATAATGCAAAGATATCAATTCTTCTTTGGCCCTCTTTATTCATTGTCCAATTTTAAGATGCACAGGAAGCAAATGAAAAGACTATGGCTTGCATCAGGCGAATTTAAGTTTTGATACTGACATCCTTGCTCTTTAGCACTTTAAAGAAGTCTTCAACATTTGATTTCCCCAATACAGTAATGTTTTTAATTCTCCTGACTATTACCATTGGTAATGATTATGGATCCAACTAAAGTAAAATCATTGACAACTTCTCTATGTATCTTGATGTATCTATCACTACAAAAGATTATATCTTTGCCCTTGCCTAATTATTTTAGTGTGAAAGAGTCCCTGCCTATTTTTAGTTTTCATTGTACTGAAAATTTTAAGTATCTGTGCTGTTGTCTTACAGAATATCACATATTCTAGATCTGTTGTTAATTGTTAAAAATTGCTGGCAAGAGTATTACACTGGCAGTATGTAGGTCTGCCTGATACAGGCCATGGTTTTTGCAATCACTTGTTATGCATCAGAGAGTTGGACAATGACCAGGGAGGATAGAAGGAGAATTGATGCCTTTGAGCTGTGGTGCTGGAGAATAGTATTGAATGTACCATGGACTGCCAAGAAAACAAACAGATTCATTGTTGAGAGGGTTAAACCAGGCTTCTCCTTGGAGGCAAGGATTCTGGGGCTTCGTTTGACATACTTTGGACATGTTGTAAGGAGAGACAGGTCTTTAGAGAGGGACACCATGCTGGGTAGAGTGGAGGGACAGCGCAGGAGGGGAAGACCCTCTGTGAGGTGGACTGATTCAGTGACTGGGGCACTTGGGATGGGTGTGTCAGAGGCAATGAGATTGGCACAGGATAGAGCACGGATTAGGGCTGTTGTACATAGGGTCGCTATGAGTCGCAAACGACTCGATGGCACATAACAACAAACAACAGGAAGGTACATCATGTAAGTTTGTCCTATTATTTATGACTTGATTAAAACTTTGATAACTTAATTGAAGTGCCAATTTTTACTCTAGTCCATTTTAATGGCACATTTTCCTTCCATTTGTAACTAGAAACAATCTATTAAATGATTTCTGGCATAGTGTGAACAAAACGAATTTTTCTAAAACGGACTTGTGTGCTTCATTTTATAAGTTGTTTTGTAATTGTGTAAAGTCTGAAATTCTCAGATTGTTTCACTATATGATACTAAACTTGGTCATCATTATTAAAAAATTTATATTACTGTTACATCAGGATTTTAACAACCTTTTTCCTTGTGTGATAGTAATCTATGAGGCAATACGAGTATATTGTTCATCAACTTGTCACTCAGTAGGGCTTCATAAAATCATACTATCTTAATTATAAAATAATAGCATTGTTGTTGTGTACTGTAGAGTCAAGAGCAGTTAACTCCAGGACATTTTCAGAGGCAATAAATTACACAGGAGGGGATCACTAATTTTTCTCCAACGGAGCAGTTGGTGGATTCAAACTGTGTTCCTTTGGGTTGGCAGCACAACTCCTTACCACTAAGCCACACCAGAGCAGATTTATACCAAAAATTTCAATTTTAAAAACTCTACACGTCACTTCTGCATGAGGAATCTCTCTTAATTTTCTCTTATGTGTTATTCTGGATATTTTTACTGTATATATCAACATTTATTGAAGACCTTTGATCGTCTGCAGCATTTCAATTCCTCCTCACCTTCAGCAAGCAAGGTTGTGTAGTGTGCATAATAAGGCAGATTTTTTGGGTTTTTTAAAAAAATTTTTTTTCTTCTAATATTTTAATTGTTTTGCATACTATAATTAATATATCTTGTATTTCATGCATGTACAATTGTGGTTTATATAATTTTTATTATATACTACATTTTATATAAGCAATTATTCTTGATCTATGCCTATCTTTTCATGTCTCCACTGAATCTTTCCTATACCTTCACCCACTCATCTGCCCACTATACTCTGCTATCCTAGCAATTTCCTTCCTTCCCCTTTTCAGATTTTTGGTGAATCTTCCTCCAATCCTGATACCGCATTCGACATCATAAAATGCACCTTCCTGAATGATTTGTTCAGCAAATACAATGAATAGGTTGGAAAAAAGATAAAATCCTGGCACTCACCTTTTTTGATCTTAAACCGTACAGTGTTCCCTTGCTCTATTCAGTTAACAACTTCTTGGTCTAGATTTAAGTTTTGCCTGAGCCAATTAAGTACCCTGGGATTCCCATTCGTCTACATTTTAGGCATAATTTGCTGTCATCCATATAGACAAACACCTTTGCATAGTAAAAAAAAAAATAGACATCTTTCTGGTATTCTCTGCTTTCAGCCAAGATCCATCTGATATCAGCAATTATATCCCTGATGTCATAGCCTCTTCTAAATGCAGCCTGAATTTCTGGAAGTTCTCTGTTGCTGTATTGTTCTAGCTTTTTTTTTTTTTTTTTTTACTAATCTTCAGCATTCTTTGTGTGTTATTAGTGAAATTTTCCAATAATTTCTATATTCTATTAGATCACATTTTGGGAAAGGGAATAAATGTGGGAACTACTAGACCAAGAGGTAACAATATAATAGATGGAGTAAAGACTAAAGCTGTCAATGATTTGATCTCATTTATATACACAATTAACACTCTTGGTACTAGCAACCAAGAAATCAAAAGATGTGCCACACTGAGAGAATTTGCTATCAAGGACCTCTCCAAGGTGCAAAGGAGCAATAATATCAGCTTAAAGAAGAAAGTGTACCTGTTTTAGCTAGGGTTTTTTCAATTACTTTTAACTTTTTAATTACTTGTTATGAATCTGAAAGTTGGACAATGAATAACAATGACAGAAGACTTAGTCACCTGCAACTCGATGGACTTAACAACAACAATAAAAACAACTGGAGAAGAGTACTGAAAACCCAATTGACTGCCAAAGAACAAACAAATCTGTTTTGGAGAAAATGCAAACAAGGTGTTCCTTAGAAGCAAAGACGGTAAAATTCACCGCACATATTTTAGCATGTTGTTAGGAGGCACCAGTTCTTGGAAAAAAGACAAGTAGAAGATCAGTAAAAGAGAGGAAGACACTCAACAAGACCAACACGGTGACTGTAGCAAAGGGCTTGAGTATATCAGGGATGATGAAGACGCACAGGACAGGGCAAGGTTTAGATCCATTGTTCACAGGATCACTATGAGTCATAGCTAACTCAAAAGCACCCAAGAATATCAACATACATGCACTTATTTTCTTTTTAATCACAAAATGGGAATATACTATATATTCTACATTGCAGCTTTATTTTTCTGATTTAATATATTCTACATCTCTTATCTCATTTTTAATTATAAGAAATTTCTGCATGCTTTATTTATTTATTTATTTAATATCTGCTAAAAGTCCATCATTACAGTTTTCACATATACTGTTACATAATTTTAAAGAATACTATAATAAATATCACTGATTGTATAATATATGTGCTTTGTGTGACTATATCTGTAAGAAAAATTACTAAAAACATAACTCTTAAGTTCAAATGTGCAATTTTTTTCTCTTTTAATAGATAATATAAATTTTTTATGAAAATGACATTATTTTATGTTCACATCCACGTTATAATACTGTTTCCTAATCCTTTCGTCCTTATTATCACTGAATATTAGCACATTTGCCAATCTGAGAGGCCAAAAATAAATGACAGCTCAGCACTGCTTTCACTTTTATTTGTGTAATCAAGAAGGTCAGAATATTTTATAATTTTATTGGGCATTTGAAATAATTTCTCTATGAATTGTTTACAGGCTCTGCCTTCCCCCCCATTAGTTGCTCTAAGAGCAATAGTAATATTTTAAGCAACATAGTTAAAAAAAAAGAATAAATTTCACTAACATATTTTAAAAAATCCTTTTTAGTGGGAATTTAAGATACGCCCGTTCAAAAAAAAGTATAGTTCCTGGTAATATATATTTAGTATCATCACATCTTACTTAATTGATTTAATCAAGAATATATAATAAAAGGGTTAGAGAACTTTCTATATTAACACTTCCCTACTTCTTTAATCAAATTTAGGTTTCTGTGGGCTAGAAGTGAAACAAAATTGAAATTATGGTAAATTAAGGTAGCAGCCTATTGATTTAGGCTAACATTTGGAACTTTTAAGTTCGTTTTAAGTTTCTTATTTAGTACTCAACAAAGAGGACATTTTCAAGAACAAGGAAACCCAAAAGCCTAAATAAATCTGTCTAGAGGGCACAGTAGAGCTAGCTTTCATTATTACATGAGTACTCTTCTTCTACTTTAAAAATCAATTTCATATAGACCTGATGTCAATGCTAGAGCATGATAAGAACTTGCCTGATCGATGTAGAAAGCCGTGCCAGCACGGATCTCTCGACGCTGTTTGAGATCCGTTTCAGTGGTATCCCTTGATAGGGCAATATACTCAACCTCCCGCTTGGTCAGCTCCTGTAGAGGAAGAAGAGAATTAGTCCAAATGTAAAATCAAGTCTGCAGCATATGACTCAGATCAAGGTATCCAACAATGTGACTGTCAGTAGAATAGCACTCAAAACACACTTATAGATTAAATAGTTGAGATATCAGCTTTGAGATAAATGTGATATGTTTAACAATAGTTAAAATATGTAAATATTTTCTCAAAGCTCTACTTTTGCTATCCAAAGTAATAATAAAAATTATGTCTTATAAATCTTAATGATTCATACAGAATTCTGTTCAAATATTACTACTCTGATTTTCCCATTTTTAAAGAATGATGATTGCTGTGTTTAGTCCATTACCAAGTCAGGCATCTACAGTATGTTAGACTTTCCATTAAGTGCAAAGATACGTTCAAATAGCTAGATTCAACAGAAGAGAGGGAGAGACACATACATCACATATATAACAGTACATACGAAGAAAAAGGGAAGAGAAAGAAAATTAATTTTACTTTTTTTAAATCACTTAAATTGAAGAATAAACAAGGGAGAATCCATTTCTTTTTAAGTTCTTTATCCAGGCTTAAAGTAATTTTTATCCTATTATTGACGGCCATTGATTCAGCCATGAACTTACAGCTACCTCACAAAGAACAGAATGAAGTAACGCTTGGTCCTGTGTCATCATCATCATCCTCACTGTTATACTACAATCCACTGTTACAGCTACTACGTACTTTGAGTGTCTTCCAACCTAAAGGACTCATCTTCAGGCAATATCTCAGACAATATTTTCTTGTGATAATTCCATTGACTAATATTTTAAGAGATAGCCAGGCTTTCCTCCTAGTTTGTCTTAGTCTAGAAGCTCTGTTAAAATATGTTCAGCATACTGGTATTTGAAATATTTGTGGCGTAACTTCTAGAATAATAGCAATACACAAAAATCCAAATAGAGAGATTGGTGGTGGCTATTTTGCCTTTCTTTTACCAAAAGATTTTAATATGATTCTTGATTTAAATTTTACAATTATATATTAAAATAGTAACATAATCCAATCAAATAAGGGAAGCAATATGATTTTTTTACTAAACAACTTAGCAAATCTATTTAATGGTGCATAAAGAGGAAAGCTGAAAGAGCACACACATCATTAGTGAAGAAAAGAGAGAGATGTTTTCACAGAATGTCTTATCGTCTAGCACCAGGGTTATTTGCCCACTCCATTTCTACTTGATGTTGATCAAAAGTAAGTATTGATATTTTCTTTTAAAAATTAAGGTTTCTTTTCCTATGAACACAGTAACTTCAGGTATAAGTCACTCGTCACCAAGTTGGAACTGACTCACAGCTGGCCCTTCATTTGGGTTTCCCAGGCTGTAAATCGAACAAGAGATTGCCCACGTTTCACCAAGGAGTTGTTGGTAGATTTGAAATTCCAGGGAGGTGCAGCCTTTGGGTTAGTAACTCAATTCCCAAAGGGCTACTTACCAGAGCTCACTAACTTCATTAGTGGAAAAAGAAAAACATTATTAAATTTTTGAAAAATAAGAAAATCTCTACACTTGTGAAGCCATTGGGATATCACACCACATTTTTTTCATCAAGAATGAGTTTTGTGTGGGAATGCAATTGTGGGATAAAGTAGAAGATAAATTCTTTTTTCTAGCTGAGAGCTTATTATTCTTTGTGTAATACATCAATAGTACCTCCTATCTGTTTCATTAATTGGCAAAGTCTCTCTGAAAAAGCATGCCACTCATGATAGATGTGTAAGAGCGAAGGCCACATGGGATGGCCATATCTGACCTTTACCAACTCACTAAGGGGAACTGTCCCTGTCCACAACACCACCAACACAAAACAAATTTCCATGAGCTCAGGCATGTTCCCCACATTCTCAAACCTCTTTCTATTCATCCCAATACCAATCTTACTACTTTACTGGATTCAAAATCCAATGTGATAGCTCATAGACCACACCAAACCATACTGGGATGTTAAAAGGCTATAATTCAGTTAGTAGGAGAATAAAATCACTCAGTCAGGATAGCTTCAGAAATGTGCTCAACCTAGAGCCTCCTGGCTTTAGACAGGTTCTTAGTCCTGAAGCTATGCCCCCCTTCCACCTCTCCATCTTCCGGGAACCCTGGGCAAAGGCTCTCAGTTCTGGTGTCTTAAGGGGTAGCAGTCCCAAGGTCAGCTCTGTCCCATGTTGGGACTCTGGTCCTCTGCTTCAGCCACTCCTGCTGCTGAAGGTCTAGCTGGTGAAAGAATCTCTGGCCCCAAAGGGGGCACACTGTATGTCTGCTTCTTCTTTGTTTATGGTGAGACTCCTGAATCAGTCACTGAGTCTACTCTGTTTAGTGGTGAGACTAGCCAATTCCCTTGTGAACAGTCTAACACACCCTATTTACATATTTCCATCCAACTACATGGCAAAGTTAAATACAATGGCTAGGAAAGTCATTTTGTACAATAAACCCTTAACACCACAGTACACTTCCATAGTTTACAAAGCAACCTATTGCTCTTATTATTAAATTGATAGTGACAATGCCCTGAACTGTCAGTATTACAGTAATATAATCATTATCTTCAGTCTTGATACCTTCCTGGACTATTTCTTCCTCAAGCATATCAAGCACCAGTCTTCCCAGCTGCTACTGCACAAAAGAGGTATGAAAAGTCATGCAAACAGCAAGCATCAGGAGAGACAACTATATGAGATGGCAGTGGTCTATGGAGGTTTATCTTTAACTAGCTACAACATTCTTTTTATCTACATTTTATGGAAGATAAAAACAGCTATGAAATTGTTTCTATTCATTTTCTCATTGCTTTAGCAGGCTTACTACCGAAAGTCTGCCTTTAAAGATCTTGTTTACTCCACCTACTCCTCATTCACTGACTGCCAGAGTGAAGTCTGAATCACAGCTGGGCCTCCAGAGAGTTTATGAAACTGTCAAGTGCACAGTTGTTGTTGTTGTTGTAGTTGTAGTGTGCCATCAAGTTGGAACCAAGTCATAGTGCTTCTCCAACGGATTTCTAGAAGCAGTTAATCACAAGGAAGATTACCCATCCTTCTTCCATGGAACAACTGGTGG